GGGAGTGGCGAAAGCACAGCCTGCCTTAGGTGTGAGCAGGTGGATGACCTGCTCAGCCTGGTGGCGGAGCTAAAGGAGGAGGTAGAACGACTGAGGGCCATCAGGGAATGCGAAAGGGAAATCGACTGGTGGAGCTGCATCCTGCAGTCTTCCCAGGAAAGCCACCCTGAGAACTCCCCAATTCAGTCAGAAAGTCCAGTGCCCTCTTGCCCTAGGGTAGAGGGGGTGGACTTAACAGTCTCCAGGGACGACCAACAATGGAAACGGGTCCCCACTCGAGGTGGCAGAAGATCCCCTCCACAGCCCACCTCACCTCCACCGGTGACCACGTTCAACAGGTAGTAGGCCCTGGAACATGTGAATCAGATAGAGGAGGCCTTGAACCAAGGCCCGTCTAAGGGGATCTCTACAGAGGGGCAGTCTAATCCATGCAGCAAGGCTGCTCCCCCTAAAGTGAAAAGGAGCACCCGGAAGAAGCGGCGGGTGATCGTCGTGGGTGACTCCACGCTGCAGGGCACGGAGGCACCGATATGTAGACCGGACCCCTCATCCAGAGAGGTCTGCTGCTTGCCTGGGGCCAAAATAAAGGATGTCACAGAAAGGCTCCCAAGAATAGTTCAGGAGTCGGATTATTATCCTCTACTATTGATTCATGTGGGTGCTAATGATGCCATGGGGAAAATGAGGGACGTCAAGCAAGACTTCAGAGCCCTAGGGATGGCCATCAAAGGTACAGGTGCCCAGGTGGTGTTCTCCTCCATTCTGCCAACGAGGGGAATGGACTCAAGGAGGAGAAGGCGAATATGGCAGCTTAACAACTGGCTGCGCCGCTGGACCTGGCAACAGGGTTTCGGCTTCTACGACCATGGGTCTCTGTTTGATGACCAACAGCTAGTGGGGAACGATGGTACTCATCTTAGCAAGAGGGGCACACGTCTCCTTGCAAAAAGGCTGGCCAACCTGGTTAGGAGGGCTTTAAACTAAGCAAGAAGGGGGAAGGGGAGTGGCACACTGACGCAGCAAGCAGTACCGCACAGCCCAGGTCAGATGGCGTCCAGCAGGAGTACGCTAGTGGGGAAGTGAGGATAGGAAATGATCACAGAGGGTCCTCTTTCACCCCTCCTGGGAAACCTGTGGCCTCTGTTGCTTCCCTGAAATGCCTGTATACCAATGCGCGAAGCATGGGGAATAAGCAGGATGAACTGGAGATCTGTGTGCAGTCCCAG